TTTGTCTTTGTCACCAAAAATAAAATTAACCATTAAACCTCTTTGGTCTTTTGTGCCAGTCACCAGTAGGTTTCATCAACATAAGGTTTCAAGTTTGGTGACAGTCCCCACCTGTTGTATCATACGTTGGCTTGCTCATTTTGTTGTACACATATTTTTTACGACTTTCTCAGGTAAAGACAGACTTGCATTGATAGTCATTTCAAGCTGACTAATTAAACGCGGTCATAATATGGAAGTTCGGATTAATAACCATGATGGCAACGTTACAATTCACGTTATTGTTGGCAATCGATCTACCATATCACTGGACACAATATCAGTAAGGAAGTAACACAGATAAGTTTTCTTTTGAAAGAGATGCGAAAGATACCAAAAAGATATTCAAACTAATAAGTCGGAGAAAACCTGAAAACGCCATGGCAAAAAAAAAAAAAAAAAAAAAAAAAAAAAAACTACTAAAATACAAACAACACACAATAGAAAACCAAAGACCGAGTAACCGGGACCCAACTTAAAATTTGGGGTATTATCTAGTGCTGTGAAAGGGTAAAAAGATATTGGTCAACATTTCGTACCTAGTTTGAAACACACATATGTTGATTAGTTGAATTCGACAATGTCCTATTTGAGACAATGAGTAAGCGATAGTGGTGACGACCATTGGAAGATAACTATCGTTATCTGTGAAACAAAAATGATATAATGGTTAGCTAGTAGTTTTCCCAATTTTCTTAACGTTCTGAGATGCATCGATTAAAGGTCTGACACGTTTTAGTTAATGTATTTATAATTTTAAATGTGAAATTATTTCATGGCTCTGACTTTTGTTATCATATAGGGACCATCGTGTTTTTCTAAATACAGTATCACGCTAGATACCTGTAAGTTTATCCACAAACAAAAGAAAAACAGTAAAATCACAAATACTGAACTTCGAGGAAAATTCAAATAGGTAAGTCCCTAATCAAATGGCAAAATCAAAAGACTAAACACATCAAACGAATGGGTAACAACTGTCATATTCCTGACTTGGTACAGGTACAGCTAGCTAAACCTCTCACTTGTATAGTGTCGCATCCAATTCCATTATATTGACAACAATGCGTGAACAAAACAAACAGACACAAGAGGTAAAAATGTCAAAAATAGGGGTACAGCTGCCAACATTGTGTTATCATCTTAATCACTATAAAAACAAACACATGTAACAAAGAAGCACAAAAAGGCATACATCAAATTTAACATCATCATTTTGCTGTTTTATGATACGATTTTATTTTTCTATGTAAAATCCACCAATAAAGGATGGAAGGTTTTAAGTACTGGCGAAGAATTGCGCGTTTGACGTCACACAGAAAGATATAAAATAATTTTGTCGTTCAAAGTATGACGATATATCTAAGGACAGAGTCACGTCAAATGGATATCACAAAAAACAGACTTAACAGTAAAAGTAATATTAATAAAATAAAAAAAAAAAAAAAAATTGTCGTTCAAAGTATGACAGGATACATAAGTACAGAGTCACGTCAAATGGATATCACAAAAAAAAAGACTTAACAGTTAAAGTAATATTAATAAAGACAAATAAAAGAATATTCTAACAGCTCTTTAAATGTCTTACCTGTAAGATCAGCTGTTATACCTGTATATAATATATATTATATAGACAAATTTCTGAAAGATTTTGTAACAGTGTGTACTTATATGAGCATTACAAATTGTATGTTGATAATTTAGATAAATGTATATTCTTTTGGCAAAATATATAAGTAATGTACGTGTTTCATTCTGTATAACATGTGTCTTTCTATGTTGTTATGTTACACTATTGTTACAGATAAGGGTGATGGTTTGGTACCATTAAAACGTTTAAACCCGCTGCAATTGTTTGCACCTGTCCTAAGTCAGGAATCCGATGTTCAGTAGTTGTCGTTTGTTGATGTGGTTCATAAGTGTTTCTCGTTTCTCGTTTTTTACATAGGTTAGACCGTTGGTTTTCCCGTTTGAATTGTTTTACACTAGTAATTTTCTGGGCCCTTTATAGCTTGTTGTGTGGTGTGAACCAAGGCTCTGTGTTGAAGGCCGTACTTTCACTATAATGGTTTAATTTTATAAATTGTGACTTGGATGGAGAGTTGTCTCATTGGCACTCATACCTCATCTTCTTATATCTATATAGTCCCTGTTTATTATTTTAAATACTTCAAGGTTAGACACATACGGATAAAAACATAAAACCATAGTTTTTAGTTATAAATCATAACTACTGTTGGTAAGACATATTTGTTTATGGGCCGTATTTGTTATAAAGGCACTTACCCATGCATTAATTTTAATCGTTCTATATATGTAATAAACCTATGATAAGTTGTATGTTTTTATTTTTGCATATTTCCATTTCTTATGTGCAATCCCCATGGCTTTTGCTGTAGTAAGGGTTTCATTGTTTCTCACTTATTATTGCTCATTTAATTTAGACAGCTTGTTCTTTGCTTTTATTATTATACGGATATTCTTTTCAACCTGAATGTATTTAACGTTGCAAATAAATATACGACACATATTGATATAATCTTATTATATCTAAATATAGATTGTTATGTCACGGGTTATATATCTTACCTGTGTGATAAGTGTATTTGCTTTCCGATAAAATGGCTCAGGCGGTGTCTAAAACATGCGAGATTTGCATAAGTGCTTCAGGATCGCAATACTGCTTAGAATGTGAACAAAACTTTTGTGAAAATTGTAAAATATTGCATAAAAGACAGAAAGGCACAATCAATCACCAGTTTCAGTCGTCCTCAGACGTCATTCCGGAAGGTAAATCGAAATGTCCGGACCACAAGGAAGACTTATGTTTTCTATGTAATACCTGTAATGTAGCAGTTTGTAGCAGTTGTGTGACCGGAAGTCACACAGGCCATGCCTTTTCTAAGCTTATGGACAGCATAACAAAGCTGAAGGAGAAGAATAAAAAAGACCTCCATAGAAAGGTACACGAAACAACCCAAAACTTGAAAAAGATAGAAGAAGGTCTAAAGGCATTTGATGTAAAAGTGGAAGTAGTAGTAAAAGCTATTACAGAAGAAGGTACAAATATAAAGGCAATGGTTGATAAATGCATCGCAGAGATGATTGCATCGGTCAAGGATCAATCCAAGACGGAAAAGGACAAATTAACAAAGATCATAGCAGATAGAAAAATGGATTTGAAAGCGGGAAGTAACTTAGACAAGAAGATATATGAACTCGACAAGAAACGAAACGATGGAAAATTGTTACAGTCGTTACAAAAGCTTACAGATGACATTGCAAAGCTGACGATAGAGCCTTTACCCGTATTTCCAAACATACAGTATACTGATAAGCCTGTAACAGATAACGACATCAAACAACTGTTTGGCATCTTCAAAATAAGGTAAATACCTGAGGAGAGAATTGTTTTGTAGACTGCATTCTGCAGTCGTAATACATGCTTTAATATAACTATATTATTTGAAAGTGACATGTATTTTTGTATAATCAAAATTCTGTTTTTGAATATCAATGTATTTCTGAATTAAATCTCATGACAGACGCAGGGGGGACAATTCATTCAATAAAAAGATGTGGTCATTAACAATGTATTGTTTATAACGGAATAACAATGGACTCTAGTAAATAGACATGTGGTCTATGACAATGCACATTTTAAATTGTATTCACAATGCACTCGACACTACGTGCAGTTATGAAGTTATTCAGGAATACTTGTTTTCAAACTAGCACAGAATATCTGTTTTCCTCATTTTTAAATGTTTTGTTTTGATATTATACATTTAAGGAATCATGTGTAAATACTTCATTTTTATTTTGACAGTGGAGTACGTACACAGTATATCGGAAACAGAGAGAAAGAATTACCTAAACCAAAGAGGTAGGGCAATATGTTTGTATATTTTACAGTGTTAATTTTACGCTTAAAACAATGTAAACTTTTCGTCAAATGTGTAAGTAAATCACACATTATCTTCCTGTATACCTTATCTTTTTTTGTACGAAATGAAGCCCTCTCTCCATGGTTCTGGGTAACTTTGTTTCTTATATTGTGTAAATCAGTGCACCGTTTTACTGTCGACACATTTACTAATTACATGTATATACTTATCTTCATTACATTGTTCCTAAGTAGCAGTTTTTTAAGCCGTATTTGCTTAATTTTCTTGATACATATTTCACCAACTCACATTCTTTTTCAAATATTTTGTTTTGCTTTGATTTACATCTTCTACAAAGTCATTTGTAATGCGTTGCATACGTTAGCAAGCACTTATTCGAGTAGGACTGCGTTTAAGTGAATAATACTGATAATGATGTACAAACATATAGCGTAATTTATTTTCCATAGCGTTAAAATTAGGTTGTATTTAATTTTCGTAAATATACTGCTCGTTAAAATGTTTTTGCTTGTCTAGTATTTTTAACATTACTATATAAGCGGGAGGTTTAGCTAGCCATAAAACCAGGTTCAACCCATCATTTTTTCTTATAATGTCCTGTACCAAGTCAGGAATATGGCAATTGTTATCACATGGTCCGTTTTTATGTATGTTGGCGTTTGCTTTGGTAACAGTTCGATGTTTCTGTTGTTTCGTTTTGTTTCCTCTTATGGTTGATGTGTTTTCCTCAGTTTTGGTTTGCGACCCGGATTTGTCTCGGCTACTTCGATTTATGACTATTGAATAGCGGTATACTACTATTGCCTTTATATATAGCTTCTTCAATTTAACTGTACTGCATATTGTTAAATCTAAAGAATTCATCAGTTCATGCGGTTTTTTGCTGTAAGGAAGACGGGGAAAAGGAGGGAAAAGTATATGCAAAGCTGCAATAGTTCTTTAAGGATTGTGGATATAGATAAGAATGTCATTAATTCATTGCTACCTTGTGTTTATATTGTCAACTTAAAAGGTGTTTTATTTTATTTTGATCTATTGTGTTGTTCATTACAGTGATTACGAACAGGTTACGAAACCAAAAGAGGAAGGAAAATCCCTGTTCAGATGTGACGAGTGTGGGTAAGTTTCTAAATATTGTTTTTATGGACATGACGTAAATATGAATATTTATATTATATTAGCAACATACACTACAAAACAGAAAAAATCTGAAATGGCCTATATCTTTAATCAACTGTACTGATTTTTACTCGGCCAGTCTGACTTGGTGTGAAACTTAATTGATATTACTCGAGCGTAGTCTGAACCATACTTTACAGTCTGAACTAATACTTTACCAGTACTGAACCATTTTATATGTGTTTTAACTATTCTCGATCAAGTCTGAACCATGCTCGACCAAGTCTTAACCAACCTATGTCTGTATCTATCTATTACATTTCATCAATTTAGGAACTTTTTTAACAACAGCTTTTCCCCTTGGCTAGAAATTTGAACAACAATTTGAAATCCAAAATGTATTTAATATCGCATTGAAACTAAAATTTCACAATAAACATACTATAATCATCAACACCATGTTCATCAACACTTATACATATATATATTTGTGATCTAGAGCGCTGGAAACAGCGCAGGCGGCGTTGTCACGATATCCCAATAGCATGAGTTCGAATCCCGGCGAGGGAAGAACAAAAATTTGCTCCCGGTAATTTGCAGATTTAACATTGTTGTGCTGATATTTAGAGTAATAATGAATATAATATGTGTTTTCTTAATACTAAAATATATGATAAAAGAGATGATTTTTCATTTCCTATCGTTAATTATCCATTTTTAGATGGTGACGTTCCCTTGTCACCATCTTACGGTGTTTATATATCTCAACTTGTACGATTCGCTCGTGTATGTAACAATGTTTTAGATTTTAACGAGAGAAATTTATGTATTACTGAAAAATTATTACACCAGGGTTTTCGATATCACAAACTAGTCAAAACATTTACTAAATTTTATCATCGGTATAAGGACATCATTCGTAAATATAGCTCAACATGCAGACTTCTTATACGTTCAGGTATTTCACATCCATTTTTTTATGGAAATATTCTTTATAAAGCACAAAAATGTCAGTATTCACCTCTGAAACTAACAAAACCTTTAAATAGACTTATTAAGAAGGGATATAGTTACGATACTGTTGTCAGGTCATTAAAGATTGCATATTTTGGCGTTAATATTGATTCACTTATAGGGTCTTTGCATCGGCACTAAACACATTTATTTAAAAACCAGTTGTTGGCATGACACGGGTTATGTTCTTCTCATATATGTTATGATGGTATGATACTAAACCCCTAACGGGAAGGATTGTGCCTGATATTCATATGATGAAGACATAATCTTTCAATCAGTTTAATTGAAGTTTGGAGCTGGCATGTCAGTTAACTGCTAGTAGTCTGTTGTTATTTATGTATTATTGTCATTTTGTTTATTTTCTTTGGTTACATCTTCTGACATCAGACTCGGACTTCTCTTGAACTGAATTTTAATGTGCGTATTGTTATGCGTTTACTTTTCTACATTGGCTAGAGGTATAGGGGGAGGGTTGAGATCTCATAAACATGTTTAACCCCGCCGCATTTTTGCGCCTGTCCCAAGTCAGGAGCCTCTAGCCTTTGTTAGTCTTGTATTATTTTTAATTTTAGTTTCTTGTGTACAATTTGGAGTTTAGTATGGCGTTCATTATCACTGAACTAGTATATATATTTGTTTAGGGGCCAGCTGAAGGACGCCTCCGGGTGCGGGAATTTCTCGCTGCATTGAAGACCTGTTGGTGGCCTTCTGCTGTTGTCTGTTCTGTGGTCGGGTTGTTGTCTCTTTGACACATTCCCCATTTCCATTCTCAATTTTATTTCAGCCGTGCATCACTTTCACTGGTGATCCTATACATGGATCTGTCGTAGAGTTGTCACTTAGTTAGACGTACTTTCTGTGACTACATCGTACGATCCTTTACGACAGATCATTTAGCTAATCTGCAATCAATTCAATCTTCATACCTAATATATCATGTACTGTGTTACAACTCTAGATTCTACTAACGATGAAAGGTAACACTAGGCCACCGAAAGCTGAATGTTTAGTTCAGTCTAGGTGGCCCTGTGGTCTAGAGCGCTGGACACTGTGCAGGTGGTGTTGTCACGATATCCCAATAACATGAGTTCGAGTCCCGGCGAGGGAAGAATCAACCAGAACGATATAAAGTTTCAATGAAATATGCTTCAAGGCATAACATGATGACCTATATAAGGTCATTATTTTTCTGGTTAAAAAGCAAACTTTAATTTACTTAAACATTAAAATCGTTTGATAGCTATCGTGTGGTGTTGCCAATTGAGGGTTTACTTTATAATTTTCCATATTTTGTAGGTTTAAGGCAAAAACAATCCTTTATTCCGTTTATTAGACTGACATACCAAAAATCGTCGTTGACGCACATTTTAACATCCAAAACAAATAATGTGAGGTTTTGTTAATTTATCAATACAATAAAGGGGCATTATGTGAGATAAATTTAATAATGCAAACATTTCCATAACACTTTAAATCAAGCCATATTTAACACATTATATGTAGGATTTTGAAAATCTTATTTATTCGCATTGTATTGGAAATCATACTGTAACCTATGAATGTACATGTATCACGATTTCGTGTTCTCTTCATGCCAGTTGTTTTTTACATCTTTATATGCCTTTTACTCTATCTAATCAAATGATCCAACATTCTTATTTTCTATAGAATAACAGCCTTGTACTTTAAAATGAATATAATAAGTATTCCTAATTCTGAGTTTTATATAAACAAAATTTGTATTGCCAAACAAAAGAGAGAAATCAATTACTCTGAATTGTTCGTTTACTAAATTGTTGAAAAAAAATCTGCATTTCCGCGATAAAAATGTCATGAAAATAGACAAAGAAAAGCATCCCTCTTTTATAAATAAAGTTGATACAATAATTTACTTACAAAGTGACTTTTGTATTATTCATACACCGTAACAATTCATTTGTGCATTGCTTCATACACTTACAGTAAAATTTCTATTCAAACTGGACAATGATTTTTAACGTTTATATATCTAGTTTAATACGTGAGTTTAATACGTGAGTTTAATAACACATTATGAATGAGCTGTAGGCCATATTAAAACTTGATCCCATCAGTAAACAATATCTCACTTTCGTGTTGTCGGTAAAATAGGATGTAAATAATGCAAACCTTTGCAGAAAATAATATTTATAGACGGTAAATAAGTCAGATAATGCATATTTTAAGGTTTCCTTGTCGTATAACACACTACGGTCGGTCTTTCATGTGTTCAATCCTGACACCCCTCGGGGTGTTATACTTCGAGAAACCTTAAAATATGCATTATCTATCACATAAATTAAGATTTCGGTTAAATAAATTTGTATATATGTATACATGATGTCATGTTCACATTGCACAATGTACATCAAAAATACTAGAACTTTCAACCATTATTCAAATACATATTGTAAAATGTATTCAAAATTATTTGACTGTTTCAGAAATATTTTATGAGTACTGGAAAATTTTCAACTCTTACTTAAGCCTGGTATAAATTTTTTGAGTTTAGTTAATAACGCAGTGAAGTTTTTTTTTTTATTGTATATAACGTTACTTAATAAATTTAAAAAATGACACCTATGTTTTGTAAAATGAAAAAGTGAATATTATAGAAGTTCCATAGCAATCCTTGATAGCCTTTTGAAAAAAGGAATTGTGTTGCAAAGTTGCAGTAACAATTTAGGTTGATAAATTAAGTTTTGTCAAAATTAAAGACATGGCATAAAAGAAGAACTTTAATAAGGTTAAATTAACTCAGTACATGTGTATTTTACAGGTAAAAAGAAACCCCTAATTTCTTAAACTCGTGTATTATTATCTAGTGAATGCAAGAGGCCTTGTGATTTAAGTTGTACAGGATGTTGTTTAATTTTCAATGGACGTTATAGGAATGCGATGATGGATGTTATTTAAAATGTATTACTCTCTGACACCGTGTGATCTTTTAAATGAGTGTGCCCCAAGCAGGAGGTATTACTTTATAGTTTATCCCTTTTCAGAAGAACATTTTTAATCATTTTATATATATATATATATATATCCCAATATTCGCGTGTTATCAGTGATATAAATGGACGTATTATAGTTACTTGGATGCCGAACTTTTCAAAATAACTAAGGTCATAAAAATAAAATACTCATATCTTGGTAAAACATTGCAGTTTTGTTTTGTTGATAATTCCAGAACAACATTGAACAGCTTAACCACAATCCTCAATAATGAACGGAAAATCGTACATACATTAATCATATTTTAACAGTGAACTGTATGTTCTACGATACGACATTTGCCCTTTGTCGACGGTTATATTACAGATATCTAGAACACTAAACAGCCTCATAATTGATAACAAAATGTTCAATAGAAGCATAATGCATAGCTCTCAATGCAGCAAATACTTATTAATTTACACATTTTACGTTTGTATACAATTGTAGATACTCATATTTGCTGAGTCAATCATCACCTAAGAGACATCAATTGTCGTAATACACGTCTGATGCAGAAAATGTAATACAGTTAATGTTATCATAATAATGTTACCTTTGTCCATAACGATTTTGAGTGGTTAACTCACAATATAATTCAACAATAGGTGGTAAAATGAAGTAAATCAACCACATTTTTTATTCGAAACCATGTGTTTTGCTTTTGAAATGCTATCTGAGTAAACGACAACACATGTATCAGTATATTTGTTTGTGAATCTGTCACTTATACATGTGAAACTGACACCATTGATCTGTTTCGTCTTTCAGAAAGGAAGAGAGATCTGATTAGTAAGTATTATCTACGTTTTTTGTAAGTGACAAATAGTCAAAACTGTCATTTACTACAGACATGGTTTTGAAATATATTTAAATACTAGGCTCGTTCGGATAATAGACACCCCGTAACTATAGGCAAACTATTTAACAATGACCATTAAATACAGACATCTTTGATACAGAACCTTTATGATAAAGGTATATATTACAATGATTCAGATTTGTTAATGTGCACCGGTCATTCAATTCAAAACTATGAATTTGTTCCACTTGTCATAACAACAATATTTCCTATTTTACCATAAAAGACTTACAATGGATATTTTCATGACCAACACGACGGATGCTAGGTCTTAGTTTTCTTTGTTTTGTTATTGTTGTTTGTCCTTTTATCGTGTTTTTTTTTTAACATGGTGTTGTTTGTTTTTGTTGTGACATTCCAGTGCCCCTTTTATCTTGTCTAAAATGTCTTTTACAAAATTGAAGAATTGACATCTAGTATACTGGTAATAAACAAGAAAACTAGGATCCCATCTGAATAAGTCGATCTAAACCGCCTGTTATACGTATTCCAATTTAATAGTCAGACCGATGTTGTTTTTCATTATGTCGTCCATCTGTCTGCAATACATTAAGAAATATTTTATATGAAATTAAAAAAAAAACGCATTGTTGCCTTGTTTGGAACATTATCAATATTCAAAATGGTCATGTGTCGTCTTAACATTTGCAATAGTACATACATATATATCAAATGTTTCCTCTTAACCTGTATCAATATTTGAATTCTACAAAAAAGGAACAATCCAGGGAAATAATTACACTAGTGAAGTCCTAGTTTAACGTAAATAAAGGCAAAACTAGTATACTGCTGTTCAATAGTCATAAATCGATTAAGCGAAAACAAATCCGGGTCACAAACCAAAACTGAGGGAAACACATCGACTATAAGAGAAAACAAAACGGAACAACAGAAATATTGAACTGCTATAAAAACAAACGCCAACATACATAAAAATGGACTATGTGATAACAATTGCCATATTCCTGACTTGGTACAGGACATTTTAAGAACAAATGGTGGGTTGAACCTGGTTTTATGGCTAGCCAAACCTCTCGCTTATATAGCAATGTTAAAAAATCCGCTAACATGACAACATTACGTGACAGGAATAAAAAACAAATAAATGCAAGAACATTTAGGACAGAGAAATACATAAATAAATAATATAATAGTCCATTTCAACATTCAAACCACAGAATAACAACGAACACCTAAAACTAATTTACGACAGAACGCATATACAGCATAATAGAATAATAAACTGTACGTCACACGAATGTATCAACGCCACAAAAAGTGACGTCACAGTTAAATTTCTAAAAATACAATATGAAATTGGGATTAAGTTTGTAATGGTGTTATTTGATGTATTTTCTAACCATTACAAGAATATTAATATAGAACTGTGTTAGTTATGGTGTAATTATTTGTATTTTTTAACCATGGTTTTTCTACGAAATGAAACTTTTTCTTCTAAATCAAACTGTGAAAAAAACAAATGAATCCTGTGCATATAGTTGCTTTTAACCTGAAAATGATATAAATGAACTAGGTAACGTTGTTTTATTTTATTTTATTCGGGATGGATCATGAGTTCAAAGTTAAGTTGTCCACTTTTCTTTCTAAATATTTTCAGCATTTGTTTGCAAAAAAATTTATTACCAAAAAGCGTTTTAACTAACTTTTTGTTTTTAATCTCTCGGCTGTTATTATTCAATAACAAAACAATCCTTGTTTTTTTATGAAGAAAAAAGCCCACATATCTAATGAAGAAATCATAAAGTTCGTGAAAAAAGTAAAATTGTGAGATGTGTTGCACACATACAAACCTGGTTTAACAAGTTGAATATTCATTGTATAACTGGCTATGGGAAATAGGTTTCTCATTGTTAAAGGCCGTGCAGCAACCTATAATTTTTATCCACGTTATCAACAAATTTTATTTATTGGCAATCATATTACATCTTTTTGTTTGTATATCAAAGGGTGCTCGAGCACAAAACTTAGGAAAATAAAATAACTACTGTCATTCCGATGTTTTGATTAAATGTCAGATGTCTTTGTATAACACAGGAGAACATTGCAGGATTTGCACCTCCTGCTATGTATGTCTAATCCAACTATAAGCACCTTAGGCATAACTTTATTTTCAAAATCATCTCAAAGAAAATGATAAAAAACACCTCGCAAAGTTCTTTGATTCCATAATCGAAAATATCGACGATGTGTTGTAATTCAATAACCCACATTTCCGCGTGTGCTTACACCTCATATACCGAAAGTAGCAGATCTGCTTTATATCTTGTTTTTTTTTTTTAAATTGACACAATCTAGAATCTATGACAAACGATTTCAACTTTCAATTTCCCAGCACTAACATACTGATTGGACATTACAGAAGTACACAGTTACAATCACGGATTGGTTGATCTGTTCAATTGTTCTTAACTAGCTTACGACATATTTTGGTTGTTTTAGAGCTTTGTATATAAGAACAGTCGTCTGATCTATAAATTTACCGATTGTGTCGTATTCCCGATAGTGACGTTTTGACTAAGTATGGACTGGCGAGTGATGCATGCATATCAGGTATCATTTGTCCCATTGACGCACGCCGACTAGCTCCTGTTGGAGATCATGCGAATCCCCGAGTTTTGTTTTTTGCTTGATTTGCCTCTCCTTATTGAATTAATGGAATTTGAGCATCAGTTAAATATGTTTCAATCTAGATATTGTTTGCACTGAGTGATTTTGAAATAGCAAATTACTAAAATGAAATTTACTCTGTTTTATCATTATTCAATTTGCTATATCTACGTATCAAGCTTACAACTTGCTAACCAAATGTAATTATTTAGTTATTGAAGTACTAAATTATGTAAGCTTCAACAAGCATATCAAATCAAATGTAACGACGACTTTAAATGGCTCAATATCTCTAAAATCAGTTTACAACTATAATAATCGAGTATACCTTATAGTGTTCCTTTACACATACTATCCTTTCTGATGTCTGTGTTGATATGATTAATTTAACTGGACAGACATTTCCACTTCTTTTACAACAATATGTTTACTATATTTTATAAATTGTATGCATTGATGTTTTTGAGATTATGATGTTTTGTATCGTGAGTAGCTTTACGTATTTTTCCAGATATTAAAGTTGTATTACTGTTATTTTTCAGCTAGTAAGTGTTATTTACAAGACAGATAAGTATACTGTGATACGAGCGTTCACAATGTAGAATGAAAGCATGATAGATAAGGAATTGATGTATTATTTTAACTGATAAAGTCTAAAGTTTATCTCTATATTATGATTATTTTTGCTGTATGTTTTCCTTGTAACTTCTGACATATTTCAATGTTGTTGTTTTTTTATACATTGGCCTTCATAAATCATAAGGAAACACATGTGCTATTAATTGTTAGATGTCTTTAAGTTCAACACTACCATTGACTTTCCCCTATTAGTCTTTGTAAAATTTGCACTTTTCAAAAAATTGTGCAGAATTTATCTTTGTTTCAAATAAAGAAATACTTGGCATGAGTAAAGTTTTATCATGTTCAGTACTACAGACACAATTTCACATAACATTTCATTGCATATAAGATAATAACCATCACTGTAAGTTAACCAATCAAATGTTCACCCTTTTCTTTCCTGTTTACAAGCTTTAGTAACCATGTTACCTCAAGTTTCCAAACTATTTTATAGAAACACCAAATAAAAAAAAGGATGGTGCTTCGAAACACCCAGGATATATGTTGATGACTCAGAATGTTTTACTGCAATGAAATGTAGGATTAATTTCATACAACTGTCAAAGTCAAGGGAATATTTTTTTTCGACCCTTTTTCGTATGCACGGGATGTGACGTACTATGATTTGGTGGTATTAAACCTTTATTACCCCCAAAGTTTGATTATAATATAATGAAAATAAACAATAATTATGTTATTGTCTTCTTTAATACAAATCTGAATACATTTATTTCTTTTTATAATCTATCACGTCTAAGAAAATGCAGTTTCACCCTTAAAGCCATAAACACTTCAAAACAATATATTGATCATATTTTTTAAGATTGATGAAGTGGTGTTTTTTTATATTTATTTAAACTTGTATTTTTATTTTATTTTTCAGTGCATTGTAAGTGTTTTGTACCAAACAGATAAGTATACAGTAAATTTTGTATGTAGTGTTTTTATTAACATTAGGAAAATATAAAATTTTCAGTAGATAAAGACGCAATTACATAGAAGTAAATATACAACCTATTCGTATATGAGAAACATACAGATATTGTCATTCCTAATATAATACATACGCCATAAGTAACAACCCTTTCGATTTAGTTAATATGAAATGTGAGGCAGAACGAATGCCTCATATCATATTTTGATTGATACGGGATTTTGTTAAAAAAAAAATACTTTTAAAAGGAGAAGGTAATATTGAGATCGTATTGTTATTAAAACATTTTTTTATACTTTTAAGATTATTTCAAAACGTTTCTATCAAATGTCTAATCAAATACAGGTGAACATTCAGATAAATTTATAAACGTAAATAATGACTCGGTTTTTTGTAACTAATTTTTAAAATAAAACCTAAATTATAACTTGAATATTTTCTGATCAACCTTTTCTTGTGCTAAACACATACAGCTTATGCACTTTTGTCAGGTTGAACTAATTGGTATCATCGTTTTCAAAGTTTATTTCCACTTGAGAAAAGATCTGTATTTGAAATAACCACACGTATTCGGAAAGCGTTTTGTATTCGTGCTGGCCAGCAAAGCAACCAACAACATGGTATTGGTACGACGTAAACACTACACCAACGTTTTTGAAGAATGAAACTACTGTTTTTGGTCTAGATTCAAGGCCTTAGTGTCCATACAGAGTCAACCCGTAGACAATCATACCGTTACCGCATCTCAGCTTAGGCCCTCTTTTGAAAATTTGAATGCCTTTCTGTCAGTTCGCTCTCACATATATAAATAACCATTCAAATGATGATAAATAGAAGAGAACATCCTTACTATAGTTATAGTTAATATAGTTATGTCATATATAATGCTCATAAATAGACAAACAATCCATGTAAACGTATGGTTTTCCTGAATAAAAATAATCTTAAAGGTCACCATTTACCTTTGGAATGAATAACATTAATTTTGTTTCAAACATTTAATACGTAACGAAACATCCTCTTCATTTGAACTCTAGTGGATTGTTGTCTGTTTGGTAATCATACCACACTTTGTTATTTATATAGGTATTGTTACCCATAACACGTATGGTCATATATCTTATCGACATCTATAGTTAAGCACAGTATATGATAATCCTTTTCGTTTCATCACTAGTGGATTGTTGTCTGTTTGGTAATCATACCACACTTTGTTATTTAAATAGGTATTGTTACCCATAACACGTATGGTCATATATCTTATCGACATCTATAGTTAAGCACAGTATATGATAATCCTTTTCGTTTCATCACTAGTGGATTGTTGTCTCTTTGGTAATCATACCACACCTTGTTATTTATATAGGTATTGTTATCCATAACACGTGTGGTCATATATCTAATCGACATCTATAATTAAGCACAGTATATGATCATCCTCTTCATATAGGTATTGTTATCCATAACACGTATGGTCATATATCTTATCGAAATCTATAGTTAGGCACAGTATATGATCATCCTTTTCGTTTCATCACTAGTGGATTGTTGTCTCTTTGGTAATCATACCACACTTTGTTATTTATATATGTATTGTTATCCATAACACGTATGGTCATAAATCTTATCGAAATTTATAGTTAAGTACAGTATATGATCATCCTTTTCGTTTCATCACTAGTGGATTGTTGTCTCTTTGGTAATCATACCAGACTTTGTTATTTATATATGTATTGTTATCCATAACACGTATGGTCATATATCTTATCGAAATCTATAGTTAAGCACAGTATATGGTAATCCTTTTCGTTTCATCACTAGTGGATTGTTGTCTCTTTAGTTATCATACCACACCTTGTTATTTATATAGGTATTGTTATCCATAACACGTATGGTCATATATCTTATCGACATCTATAGTTAAGCACAGTATATGATCATCCTCTTCATATAGGTATTGTTATCAATAACACGTATGGTCATATATCTTATCGACATCTATAGTTAGGCACAGTATATGATCATCCTTTTCGTTTCATCGCTATTGGATTGTTGTCTCTTTGGTAATCATACCACACTTTGTTATTTATATATGTATTGTTATCCATAACACGTATGGTCATATATCGTATCGAAATCTATAGTTAAGCCCAGTATATGATCATCCTATTCATATAGGTATTGTTATCCATAACACGTATGGTCATATATCTTATCGAAATCTATAGTTAAGCACAGTATATGATCATCCTTTTCGTTTCATCGCTATTGGATTGTTGTCTCTTTGGTAATCATACCACACTTTGTTATTTATATATGTGTTGTTATCCATAACACGTATGGTCATATATCTTATCGACATCTATAGTTAAGCACAGTATATGATCATCCTCTTCATATAGGTATTGTGTTCCATAATACGTATGGTCATATATCTTATCGAAATCTATAGTTAAGCACAGTATATGATCATGCTTTTCGCAGACAGTTAATGCCATTTTTACACTTAATAGTCGATTTGTATTTTGTAAACGATCGCGTGTCTGCTTAAACTTATTATAATACAGGTGTCTTAGTGTTTATACAATCACTTGTGCGACTGTGGTGGATATTTCGTTCTTTAAAGTATCACCAGTCCAATAGACAGTACTTTTGATTTGAATTGAAATATTATTGGTAAGTTCATTTTATAAATTAACTGTTTACAAGGCGTATTCAAAGCTCTAAAAGACTTTTTACTTCAAGGGATAGATGACCTTGGCCGTATAGGTCTCACTTTTTTTGCAATATTTGTTTTAAAATGCTCTTCAATTTTGTATTTAAATGGAAATCCAACAATGAGTATGATATAAACAAAGTTTGCGTCTGGCGTACCAAATTATAATCCTTGTATCTCCACTGAATATTTTCATAAGGTATATGTTTTTGCTCAAAACCATATGATGAGCTGTACTGTTTCGCATTTTTGTGTTTTTGTCTGTGGAATTACCCCGGATATGAACGTTCATTTGTCATATTTGAGATACATTTATTTACTTGCTTACAGTTTTGTATCATTAACTGAACAGAAATACATTCCAATGTGTGAATGGAAATGTAAGTTAACTTCAAACTTAACTGGTTTGAGAACAAACGAGGAAATTTATTTGGTCTCTGTTTGAAAATGTAACTAATCAGAATAATGATTTCTGTTATTTATCTAAATAATGTATACTACACTTGAAACCTTAGGTGTTACTGTTTGACGTAAACGTTGATAGTCGGTGAATAATCGGTGACGCGAACTTGACTTATCAATGACTGATCATTGATCGATACAATGAAGCTTATTTGGCTCATCTAGCAGCTATCGTGACAACCGTCATCGATCGATCAGTCAATTAATTGTATGCACGGATCAGCGAATACATATCTCATTTAACTTCTTATGTGAAACGAACTCCGCAGTATTTACATGCGATAAACACGGACCTCCTAGAGAACACTATTACCTGAAAATGTGTATCCAACTTGTCGTAATAACATAAGAAAAAAAAATATATAAATGACTTTAAATGCGATATTTCTGATTGCTTCTTAATTGGTTCTTTTAATGTTCTGCTAAATAAATAACATTATAGCAGAATAATAGCATGCTCAGAATGTTTCTATACCACTTAAAAGAGATAAAATGATATCATTTGAAATTAGTACCCTATTTAGTAGTCATGCATTTTAATGTCACTATGTTAACTAGTTTTCACAAAATGTTAATGATATAACAGTAAAGATAATTGTAGCCTTGTTTGTGTTCATTAAAAGTCCATATTTGTCTTTATTTTATTATAAATCTGTCATTGGTATCAGTATTTTTGTACAACAGGTTGGGTTCTTTGTCCTAAAATATAATTAATGTAAATGATAAGTTAGTAAAATTTTGTTTGAATTATCTAAAAATTGCCATATTTCTTCTTTTATATGAAAAAAGATGAACTTTTATATTCAGTCAGTCATTTCAAATGCCTCTAGATGAGTTGCTTTTTTTATGTAAACTGTGATTAGGCTAAGGATATAGATGCTTACACTTATGTTGGTGTTAAATAAGAGTGCAACAATTTCTGTATTCTAATGAAAACATGAACTGCCATTGTTTTTTAGTACTTTTTGTACATCAGGTTAGACGGTTTCTTGTATAATATGATGAATATCAGAAAAAAGATTCACACATTTTTTTGCATTGTTTAAACATGTCAATGTTTCTTCTTTTATAAAACAATTATGCACTGTTGTTTGCAATCAGATATTCATAATGCTTCTGGATAATTTTTATAAGATTTGTATACTATAAGGATACAGTTGCCTTAACTTTTGTTTTTGTGGAATAAGAATGCAGTTTTTGTTTTGTTTTACTGGAATTGATGAACAACCATTTGATTTTTGTACTTTTTGTACATCAAAATGGGTTGTTTTTCATAAAATATAATGAATATATGCAATACGTTGCAAACATTTAAAAAAATTGTTTAACAATATCAATATTTCTTCTTTTTATAAAAAAATAATGCACTGTTGTTTGCAATTAGGTATTCTTACGCCTCTAGAAAGGTTATTTTTTTTTTAATAAACTTAGATTCCAGATGGTTAAACTTACGTGTGTATTGAAAAAGAGCTAAATTATTTCTTTATTTTGATGAAAATCATGAACCACCATTGGATTTTAGTACTTTTTAACATCAAGATAGGTTGGGTTTCGTAAATTATGATGATTATAACGGATAATTTAGTAAAATTTAGTTTGTATTGTTTAAAAAAAACCCATATTTCTCCTTTTTTCCTGAAAATAAATGCACTTTTTATTCGAAAATCAACATTTCAACCGCCTTTTGATGAGTAACTTGTATGATATGTGGATACATGAAGAATAAAGATGCATTAACTTGTTGTCAAAACTTAAATACAAGATATTTTGCAATTTT